GACACAATCTGTGCTCTTACACTTCCCTCATTGGTTTGGCATGATTATGTCTGTTGCCATGCATACCCTGTTTGGTTTTTCTTTGACTAGGGAAACAATTCAGCCAGAAGCACACTGCTTTAATGTGCCCAAGTTTTCCACAATGGTAGCATCTATGCCCTTGGAATTTTCTCTTGATTTGCTTCCAGTTTATGTGTGGTGAATGTTGTCTCATTGGTCGTGACATCCAGTTTAACATTTGAGACTCAGGATGCTCCCTCTTGAGGTTCAAGGCAGAGGTTTGTTTCTCAACAAATCCTATACCAGACCTATTTCCTGCAGTCTGCCCACTCTGAAGGATCTCCTCTAGGGTGTCAGTCCCAGAGTTGAGCATCCTTATGGATTTATCCATTTGATCCTTCTCATTTTTCAGATCATTTACCTCACCTCTGAGGGAGTGTATCGTGGCTAGGTGCTCTTTCCTTTCAGCTTCTAAGACCTTGATAATTTCCTTTTGAAGTTCTCCTTGTTGGTACAGTTCTACACTTCTGATGTGAAGCTTCTGATATGAGGCTGTAGGGTCTTCAAAGCTCAATTCCTCTTCACTTGAATCACCATCAGATAAGTACACCCTGGAGGGAGTAGTGACATGTTTGGCTGTTTCTTCTTCTGATTCACTGTCAGAATCAGCCCATGTGACAGTCAAGCCTCTTCCCTTTTTCTTGAGGTATGTTGGACATTCCTTTCTGATATGACCATGCCCTTCACACTCATGGCACTGAACAGTACTGATTTTTTCTTCAGCCTTTTCTTTGGAATAAGGTTTAGACTTGGCATCTATCCTTTTGACTAGTTTGTTGAACTTTCTCCCAAGTAGGGCTATTGCCTCTGATAGATTCTCCATTTCTTCCTCATCTGACTCCTCTGCAGAGTTTGTGACAAGGGCCATACTTTTGTTTTTTTACTCCACAGCCTGATCACACATCCCCATCTCAAAAGTTTAAAGAGATCCAATGAGTTCATCCACTTTCATGCGGCATATGTCTTGAGCTTCTTCAATGGCTGTGACCTTCATTGCAAACCTTTTAGGTAGTGACCTTAGTATCTTCCTTACAAGTTTTTCTTCAGTCATCTTTTCTCCTAAAGCTCCTGAAGTGTTAGCTAGTTCAAGAACATTCATGTAAAAGTCATGAATGGTCTCATCTTCCTTCATTCTTATACTTTCAAATTTTGTGGTTAGCATTTGAAGTCTTGACATTTTGACCTTGGAAGTTCCTTCATGAGTAGTTCTGAAAGTGTCCCAAACATCCTTTGCCAGTTCACAGTGGTGGACCAGTCTAAAGATGTTTTTGTCTATACCATTGAAGAGTGCATTCAATGCTTTAGAGTTACCAAGAGCCAATGCCTTTTGCTCTTTGGTCCATTCCTCTTCATGAATTTGCACAGATACTCCATCCTTGTCAGTCTTCACAGGATGTTCCCAGCCAGAGTTTGCAGCTCTCCAAGCCTTGCTGTCTAAGGATCTTAGGAAGGCAATCATCCTAGGCTTCCAATAGTCATAATTTGAACCATCCATAATTGGAGGTCTATTAGTGAATCCAATATCTTTATCCATAGTACCAGAATTTTGTTTCCCTAGGTGTCACCCAATAATAAACAGGCAGGGTGCCTGCTCTGATGCCAATTGAAAATTCTAGCCTGCCCACGATGGATGTTCTAACAGAGGTTATAACATCTACTGCGACATTCACTAAAGATATACTATTATGCAGTAATTACAAAGCAGTAAATAACATAGTTAGTTGTTGACCTAGTTCAGTGCAACACACTTACATTTGGGGGCTACCAAGCCAGGGAGAAATTTCACTATCAGCAGTATCAATTTAGAGTCAAACCTCCAGTTTGCACTCTTCACTTAATCACTACCCAATGACAATTTAACCTAGAGACACTCTAGACCTGAGTATACCCACTCACTCCCTACAATCACACAACAGTGATAACAACAAGTTACAATTTAAACTGTAGATTGAAGAGACACTTCATCTACACACACACACACACACACACACACACCTTGATCTTTGCTTCAAAGATTTGATCAAGGAACACACACTCTTGCTTAACAACTTCGAGTGTAACACAGTCTAGAAACTACCTAACCAATGCACTCAATAGTTGCTTGGGTTACACGTATTCCTAAGACACACACGTGAAGAACAACCTCTTCACTTCTAAACCACTATGGTGATTTCTCTGCTTCTCTATCTTCAACAGCTACTTTCTAGGATTGCCTCGCCTGGTATTTGTAGTAGCAGATCAGTTCTTGGGCCTGGGTGCATACATTAGGTTTTATCCATCATAAACCCTCACTTATGTATTCTGCACGCTTGCCTCTTTAATCAGGTGCATTTTAGTTCCCCTAGGGCATCTAAAATGTCTCCTGCATTCCAGCATGAGCTTTTGAGTTGTTTCCCGAGTTATAGCTACCAGAAAAACAAACTTCCGCTTGATATCATACGACCTATGTCATAACATTGAGTATGACATCCAGCTTAACTTATAGTTAGCTTAGTTAACTTACCCTGCACAATCCATATTATGAATGTAATAACATCATGCATGACATTCATATATGTACTTATATTTTGCCACAAAATGCAGCCAATCAAGAGCACTTACAAAAATAAAAAGAAAAAGTTACCTTAGCCTATACCACGCCAGAAATGATTAACAATATTGACTAAATCTAGTCCCCGGCAACAACACCAAAAACTTGATCGTGACCGTCCGATACTTGAACGACTAATTTGCAAGCATACATTTGATCATGTAGTTTTAAAAAGGTTGTCGAACCCACAGGGACAGATAATCAAACTATTGCGGTCTATGGTTGTTCTGCAAAGCTAAGGCTAATGGTTAACAACGGATCGAAACTAGAAACGAGGCTGAATTACTAGGAAACAAACTAAATAATAAAACGAGTCCGACAAGAGATCTCTGCGCACCTAAGGGACTTGAAAAAAACAGGTACTAATTACGGTCAGATGCCTATTTCATAGGATATACTGACTCAAAGGCTCCGCCTCACGCTCTTGCGATTTCGACAAAATCCGTGTTGCTTAACCCCAAGATTTTGCTCTTACTCGCTCGGTAATTAAGAACACTTTTTAGAAGTCCAAAATATCCTAAAAAATGTCTAAGGCGCTGTTACTTTTTTTAGACGAGATGCTTAGTTTATACTATCTGGCTCGCTCCTCACGCTCTCGTGAATCTCGACTCAAACCTTAATATGCTTCTCCCTCTCGTGACAAAGAAATGGTAAGCAACTTTTCGCTCTCCGACAAAGCTACCTAAATTACGGTTAGAAACTACAACCGAAAAAGGTTAAAAACCACAATTTCACAATAAGTTCACTACCGAGTCTCGCCGGTAACAGCGGTCCTCAACGACGAACTCAACAGGATTTAGCCAAACATAATTATCATTAATTTTAAGATACTAAAACATACATTTAATTCTACTAACATACTAAAAAAATTTAAGGCAGAATTAGTAATAACAGTGCAATCTGAAGTAAAATATAAAAAAAACCCTGTAGAAACTGACAATTGAAAGAAAATTGCAGCGAGCTTCGATTAACTTCAAAATATTTGATACACAATGGAAAATACAGAATTGCAGTAATTCCTCGATGTGAGTAACTACTGCTTCTAAAACTGTTTAAGAATGCCTAGAATTCAAATTGAAAAACATCAGTGCTTCCGCAGTCAAATTCTCTCTAAAAACTACCTAAAGGCCTTGTATTTATAGGCCAAAAATCAAATTTTTTTCTGCCCTGCCATCTCTTTAGAAAGATATTTCCAAAAGCCATCTATTTCAACACATATACCGTAATGCCACAGTTTCAAAAAAGTCATTTTTTTGGAACAAGGGTGCCGCCCTTTCAATGGGCGGAAGTGTCTTATTTATTTAGGTGTCTCCCTTTCAATGGGCGGCAGTGTGCAGACTGTATTTTATTTTTGTTTTTACATTTTTATTTATGTATTATATTTAAATAATTATGAAAAATAATAATGATTATTAAATTATAATAATAATTATAAAATAGATAATAAAATTAAAAATAAAATAGTACTAAAATAAAATTAAATAAAATAACTGAATTGAAATAAATATTTATTTATTCATGAAATTAAAAAAGTACATTAAAATTCCTATTCACCCTTAATTAATTTTGACCCGGTCGACGTAAGCGTTGGTGGGTTCCACAGACCGGAGCGTGTACATTTCTGGTGGACCTTGTACAATCACCATCAATGTTTGGGGGCTGTGTAGAAGGTCCTGCTAGGGTTCATGAATTCAGCGACCAAATCATCACTCAAATCGTCCACAGTTGGTATCGCCGCTGCACTGCCATAGCTTAATCTTGTTCCCTCATTACTCCAACTTGGTAGGTTTGAAGGTGGCATTATGTTAGTCATGTAGAGGGTGTATGGATGTTGGTCTTGAGATGAATTAAGGGTGAAGGTTTGTGAGGGGTAAAAAGGAACTTGTGGTTGGGGCGTTTCGTAGCTGTGTTCTTGTGGCGTAGGTTAAGGGAATGAGTATTGGTTATATTGGGTGTATGAAGAGGTTGGGTTTTGTTGTTGGGTGTTACAGGGGGTTGGGTTAAATGATAGGTAAGGTTGATGGCAGTGTTGGCTTGGGGTATAAGGTTGTTGTGTTGGGTTGAATGGTTGTTGGCTGTGGAATGTTTGTTGTTGGGTGTTAAATATTTGTGGTTGGGTATTAAATATTTGTTGAGGGGTGTTAAATGTTTGTGGTTGGGTGTTACAAGGTTGTCTGGTGTTTTGGAAGTTTGAAGAAGTTGGTTGGTTACGAGGGTCCCATAAGTATCTATTTTGTGATAGATACAAAATGGTCACAGATCTATACCAATTCATGTATTCCCTATTGGGTTTACATTCGGTATCCATGACATTTCCTTGTAGAACAGTTCGACGATGATTTATCCAGTGTTAACGTTCTTGTCTGTTATGGTCTCTCCAACTATCGAATTTCCATTGGTCGTTCGTTGTACTCTTGTGGTACCTCTCCATGCATGTAGGTGGACCAGGAATGTCTTGTTGAATTCCGAATTGGAGTTTCACCCTATCTGAATGATGCATTTCAACATAAGTGAAACAAAATATGAATGTTGTAGAACTCCACATGTCGCTTTCAGTTGAATCCTCGTCTTCAAGTTTAAGATAAGGCCTCCATAGAAAATATAATATAGTTAAAAAGGGATTAGAGTTTAAAAAAATGCAAAGTGATAGTAGTATACGTGTTAGAGACAATACATCATCTTCCTCAAAATGATCGAAGAACGTCCGGTACCCAGGAGCACAATGATGCGGGGTTTTTTTGTAATTCATCTCATACGCTGACCACCTATGAAATAAATAGTTAGTAAAAATTATAGATGAAAAGTATATATACATAAACTTTGTATACTTACTTGGTTGCATATGGAAAGTGATATGGATTGGGGTTTATCAGCGCCAGTCTGGGCATTCTGGACCATCCCCAAGCTTGAATCAAAACTCCACAACCAGCAAACTTATGCACATTTTTCCTTGCGCATCTACACAAATTTCTGTATAGATGCGCTAAGGTAGCAGCGCCTCAACTATATCTACTTATTTGACTTAAATATTCTAATAATGGTAAAAATTGAAGATGGATAGTATTACCATTGGCATAATCCCCCATCAGTGCATGTTTATTGTATCTGACACATTGCACAAAATTTTATGAGAGAAATCAAGGACAGGAACCTACGGAAAAAAAATATTAACATGGGTAACTATATTTGATAATATTCATTAAATTTTGTCAATAACATATATTATTTTTTTTGTCCATTGTTGATATTTTAATTATTCAGGGTATACTTTAAACAAACTAACATTTCATTACTATCGGTCTGAGATTGGCATAACAAATGCAGATGCTTTGAGGTGGATTGACAGTATTCCAGCCGAAAAATGGACAAGGGCATTTGACGGGGGTCGACGTTGGGGTCACATGACTACCAACCTTGTTGAGTCATTGAATGTTGTCTTTAAAGGCACACGTAATTTCCCCATTACAACATTGGTAAGGGCAACATATTATAGACTAAGATCTTTATTTGCTGAAAGGGGTGTGTCGCAACTGCGAAAAACAACCCGGCGGAAAAATAGAAGAGTAGCCACCTTTCGTTATTTATCCCAAAGAGAGGGAAAGGAAACAATCGGAAAAACCTGGAGGAAAAGGGAAAGACAAGGTCATCGCAACCATGTCTGGATTCGGGAGTCGGTTACGCAAGGGGAAGGTATTAGCACCCCTCACGTCCGTCGTACTCGACGGGATCCATGCATTGTTGTCTATCTAAAAGGGTGATCAATCTATCTAGCTAAAGGTCACGGGACAAAAGAAAAAGAAAAAAGAAGTGACTCGGCAGAGCATCGCCGCTCTGTGCCTACGTATTCCCTCGTGCAATGGGAAAGTCAGAGTCAACGTAGTTCGGCTAACTACAGGTAAAGGGGAAAAGGTTGCTTGCCAAGACATCGCGTCTTGTGCCTACGTACTTTCATCTGGTATGAAAGATCAGAGCAAATGTAGTCCAAGATAACAACACCACAGGCTAGTTCAAAAGTTTTTTAGGCCCGAGTAGGATTAACAAATAGTTCTAGCAGTTGGTGTATGCAGCTCGACCATTGGAGACTTAGGCGTTACCGTTTGCGGTAGAACTAAGAGTTAACGACACTCTTTTATCTGAAAAGATTTTCCTGATTAGAATCCCGAAGGATGAAAAAGTTTTGAAGTGTTTTTTTGTTTTTTAGAGAAGAAGTGTTTTAAACTTGATTTGTAACTCATGTTGCACTAAAGATTATGACTCAGGAGCGAATGCGTCACAAATGAAAATGCAAACATAAGATACACAAGTAGAATGATAGTGGGAGGAAAATAGCGTGGGGCAATAGCCTCCATAAGCTTATCTCAACCAAGCATGCATATGACAAAACAAAGAAGAAAAGAAAAGAAGGTGCACAAAGAAGAAGTCAAACAAACAAGAACAAACCACACAAAAATACACCAAAAGTGGAATGAAATGGCCTAAACCAAACAACATCAACCAAGATGCAAAAGCCAAACACAAATGAAAGGTAAAGCAAGCCTAAAACCAAGTGAGGATGGGAGACCAAGTTAGGGCAGCAAGGACCTCATAATATGTACTCAACCATAAGCATCACAAACAAAGTGCAAAAGAAGCACAAAAGAGTCCTCAATACTTCAAGTACCTCCTCAGGAGGGACTAAGATACCTTAAATGAGGTTCAAGGTCATTGGACATAAGGTAAAGGTGGAGAAGAAAGCTCAAAAGCAAAAGCAAATCACATCAAAAGGAAATGCAAGCAAAACATAAAGGAATGCAAGCAAACTTCACATGGAAACCCTAATTGAAAGCAACAAAAAGGAACACTCAAATGAACAAGGAAGAAACAATGTCATGACCTAAAATTGAACAAACATCATCCTTAGCATGTTGGCAACATGAAACAAAAGGCATTGAGAGCTCAAAGGATCCAAAAATGTCATATCCAAGTCAAACTAGGTCAAGGTGCATGTATGAACCTCCCTTGGAGGTAACTTGACTTGCAAGTTACCTCAAAATTAGGAAAATGGTTCAAAAATGATCAAATAAAATGCACAAGGTACTTAAACAAGTTGGCAAACAGAGGCCAAAAGAACACAATCAAAATCAATTCACAACACCACCAAAGAAATTGATTCACAAGGGTGTTCCATTGTGAATGAGGATTGTCGAGGGTCAAATAGAATGCACTAAAAGTCAACTCAAAAGTCAACCAACAGGGGCAAAATGGTCCTAAAAAATTCATCAACTCATCATGGACATGAGGATGAATTTTCATTCATTGGATCAAAGGGAAATGGAAGAAACAAAATCAAAACCAAGCAATGTCAAGATTTAATTCAAATAAGACACTTCCAATATTTAGTTCCATTTTTAATTGAAAATAAAACTAAAAAATAAAATAAAAAATTTCTAAAAATAATAGACATCCCAAAATGTTTTAAAAACATTTTTGTGGAATTTTTACACTATTGGAAGTATTTTAAATGAAATTAAATCAAAACAAAAAAAAAATAAAAAACAAAAAGAAAATAAAACTAAAATAAAATAAAAGGAAGGGTGCAATCAGCAACCCAAACGCGTTGAAAAATAAAGCTGGGCTCAAGCAGGAGGTGCCAACAACAAATTGGGCCCAGATCCAAATACGTACCAAAAACTGAGAAACCAAACAAAGATTATGTGTGTGTGGTCAACGTGAGCGCATGGTAAGCCACAATCAGGCACGTTGGATCAAGATGGTAATCAAATCAGAAGGCTAAAAAAATAACATGTGGCTAGGCATGTAAATAAATGAAACGGTGAGTTTCAACATGATTGTGTGTGTGCAGTCAAAAGGTGTGCATCATACGTCTTAATCTCAACCACACAAACAAAAATAACATAGATCCAAGGGTTCCCATGATGACACGCAGTCATCTTCTTCGTTTAAATCTGGAACGGAGGGGAAAAACCAGGTGCCGGAGCACGGTGGCTCCGGTCACCTTCTCCGACGAGTTCAAAAACTCAGATGGAGTTGCACCTAACCAAAACACACAAATTGATAGTCCAAATTCATCTACGCATCATGTAGAATCCAAATATGCAATTAATTTTTTACTTTTAAGCAACAACCAAGCCATATCGAAGAGAAACATAAATGAACACTAAACACAAATCATCTCAAATGCTAGTTCATTTTAGTTATTAATGATCTACATAGTTCATAGGTCTCAATGATGCAAAAATGGCAAGCAATCATGGCATAAATAGAGAGATATGTTGAAATGAAGGTTACCTAGTGGAGAGCTTCCACTGAGCCTTCTATACTTGAAGAAACTTAAAGAAAATCTCCAGAATCACTCAATGAACCTTGCTGGAGATGAATTTGAGCTTGAATTGCTTTGAAAACACCTCAATTCTGTTTCACGAATTTCAAATCTCCTTTGCTTGCTCCAACTGTGCTTTCACCAATTCTCCACAAAAATGACTCAATGAGCTCTCAAAATTAATTTGAACTTTATATATGATGGATTGGTGAGTGTTTTAAGACCCAATTGTGGCTGAATTATGCCCAATATGAAAATGCCCAATCCCAGTTTTTCCATGCTCATGCACACGTGAACATTACCAATTGCCCTTGTTTTTCATTCCAAATCACTGCTGGGAAGTTAATTTAATCATGTGGATGTAATTTGGCTCTTGAATTGATCACATGGTGGATATTGGTTTGCCAAAATTCTACTTGAAAATGCCTTTGGAAAACACATGAAAATGTCACCAAAATGAAATCCAAAACTTGCATCTTGTTTAGAACATCTTTGTGAGTCAAAAAAATGCACAAACATGCCTTAAAATGATTAGAAAAGAATTAATTCCATTTTGTGATTTTGAACTTTCTTCATGAAAAAGTTACACCTCAATTCTCCAATTCAAGCCAAATCCATGACTCTTTGATGTTTGGTTGGGCAAATGAACCCATTTGGAGCAAGTTTCATGTTGGAAAGATTTTCATTTGAAATGTGTAAAGTGGTGAAATGGACCTATAATAAAATGACCTGTAATCTTACTTTCCCAAAATAGCCCTGACTTGCAAGCCTCATAACTTGAGTTCTACAAATCAGATGAAGGACTTCTAATACTCTTTGGAAAGCTATGATCATGAGGAATAACTTTCATGTTTTGGTCAAGGTGAGGAGAAACATCCTTCTAGGTCAAAAATGGCTTGGAAGTTGGTTGACTTTCGTTGACCAAAATCACATTCATCTGAGGACCTGTAACTTGTCAGCATCATAACTTGAGTTCTAGAAATCAGATGAATGACTTCTAGTACTCAAAAGAAAGCTAGAAACATGATCTACAAGTTTCATTTTGGGGTAAGGATGAGATGAGACTTATATCTTGAGATATATGGTCTTGAAGTTGAGCACTAAATAAGGGATTTTACACTGAGAACCCTAATTTAGTAACTTCTCACACTCTTGATTCTTAATGAATTGATCTTGAAATGATATATTAGACATCTCAACACAACATCCCATGACCATAGAGACTTGGAATTGAGTTTTAATCTCCTTCAATTTCACAGTTGACTGAAGATTAACCAAATGAAAACCCTAGATGCAACATTCTTGACTGTGGCTTCTTTCACATCACACAACAACTTGAATAAGCTCCAACATGGCTCTCAAAGCACTCAATGAGCTCTCTCAACATCTTATATCCATAATTATGAATTCACAACCCTCTGATGATCTTCATCTGGCCTCCAAGTTAGGAGCTGACCTACATACATCCATCAACCCTTTCATAAGACTTTGACCACTTCCTGGTGACTTGATGACCATCCATGGTTGAGTAACACCCCTTGCTTAGGCTCAACACTTTGAGTAGACTCC